CATATATAAACTCACTGAAATAGTATAGGTACCTTGGTAGGTACACAGGTCGGAACTAGGTCATATCATAATTCGCCACCATCTACCCTCAAACCCGCTTGGGATGCTTAGGCCCGGCGCCCACTATCGGTGGGCATCGGTGCGGCTCGGTAGAGCTCGAGCGCTTTACGCCGGCTTCGGGCAGCTTTGGGCGCCTTAGAGCTGCGTCGGACGGCTTTGGGCGCCTGAGAGCTGCCTCAGCAGTCGTAAACACCCCTAAGGACGCCGTAGCCAATTTTGGGTAGACTAAGAATAGTTCTGGCTGCAGAAACATCACAGAGCAGTCACTCGTAACGTTCCGTGAAAACAGTTATGTGTGTTTATTTATAATGGTGGATTGGGACTATTTTAATGTTTGTTTTTGTTTAAGTGTTTATTCATAAGTTATTTTTGTAGCTTTTAGTCTCAAATTGTTTTGATATTTATTTTATTTTTACTTGGTATTAGGACATTTTTATTAGTATTTTGGTTAAAAAAAATGCCAATAACAATTTTCTTTACGAATGTAAGTACATGCGCAGAAGTTCACAGAGCCTATGATCAAGACTGCAAAGTTATTTTGCGTCTACTTGTACGATACGATAATGAAAGCGCGTGCGGTGATCGAAATGACTGTTCTGCGACGTGCCTGATCCGAAAATGCTACCCGAGCTACCCGAAGACCGCCTCGGCATCCTTAACCATGCTTACAGCTGCCGAGGCCACCCGACGGAGCTCTAAGGCGCCCTAAGCCGCTCGAGGCCGGCGCGGCGTAAACCGCTCGAGCTGCACCGATGCCCACCGATAGTGGGCGCCGGGCCTTAGGGTTATGTTGACACATTCCTAGCTTTTGATACAATAGCTATGATATGGGATACAATAAAAAACAAGATATACATTATTTACACATTTTATTTCGTTTTTAAAAAATAATACTTTTTTTAATCAACAAGTATGAAGCAATCTATGTGATTTTCAGGTCGACAATATTTTTTGTACTTATAAAATTATATATTCAACTATATTACATAATCATTACTATACATGGAACCGCCCACAAAATGGCGGACTATTTGACATTTGTCAGCCATTTTGAGTGCCATAGACAACGTGCCAATTTTTCTCCATTAAAATTAGCACAGATTAAATAAATTTAATTGAATGCAGAGAGGCAACTTTTTGCTCAATTTAAAAGTAAGTTTTTGTATGTGTGCGTGACATTTAAACTTTAAAACGTAAAGAGAAGAGCAGAAGTTGTTCTTGCGCATTAAATTAAACATACATTTTAAAACTCGAAATTGCCTAATAAAACCAAATAAAGTTGTTTTTACACAGTTCATTTTCAGTATTATAGGTTCTGAAACTTAATTTGACGTCTGTTTATACATAGTTGTTCATTGTTTTCTACAATTATTACACATTATTGCATCTACCTAAAACTTATTTAATTTACAAGTGAACTCCACATACAATTTCCACGCCAGTTATTTGGCGTACTTACACAAACATTGGCGATGTTATTATTACAAAATATACTCTAAGTTAAACAAATCAAAAGTCAATATTACATTAGCAGTACTAACGCCAACATATGTACCAATACGCCAAATATGTCACAAATATAAACAAGTAAGATCCAGTCACAGTTACCCTCTTAAATTCATTCAATGTAAAATGATCCTAAGTACTATTACCATTAGCAACATTTTTCTTTGAACAGGTTTTGTAACCTTTAAAACAATTGAATTTCAAGTCGTAATTATTCCTTTTTCTAATAGATTTTTGCTATTCAATAAAACTATAGTTACTATTGAATATTGAATGCTAGAAAATATAAATTCTAATAAATTGACATTGTGTGGTGGTAAAAGGATTAAATAATAATTACTAAGAATTATTATTGTTGAAGTTTTGATCATATTATTATACTAGTATTTAGTTTAGTTATTCTCATCCGTTCATAATTTGCCTAAGATTGTGACAATATAATAGTACTAATTTTATTATTAAAATAAGACTTTCATTGCTGTGTAGATAGAGGTCACCTGAAACGTAAAATCACGCCTGTTCATCAGTTATTATATATTACTCCCATGTAATAGTGAGCCTTCAAAGTCTGTTTGTATATTTGAACAGTATAGAAATAAGTCAAAAAACATAACATTCTAGCTGAAAGGATATATTTATTTAATTCATAATAAAATCAGCTCTATTATATTACAAACTGTTTAATACTGTATTTGCCAACTATTCAAATTCAGTACTTTTTTCGAACTGTCAAAAACGTCATTTTTCTATGAATTTTATACGAGATTGTGAATTATGACGTCACGTCTTTTTTTTCAGTCAAACAGCATACTTATTTCTTAAAAATTTGCTTGAAAAATACTAAAATTAAGTTGGTCATAAAATCAATCAATGAAAGTGTGATTTTTTTTAAAATATTTTATTGTATTGAACAGTCGAAATAATTTATTTTTGGTTAAGGAAAGTACCCAATTGTCTATGTATTGTCACAATATTATTTTTGCGTGTAGAATGATGCTTTGTGTCTTGAAAATATTTAGTTTTAAATCATTATTAATTAGATATTCAATTTAACCACAAACATTTAATTTCTATACAGATGTTAAAATAATATTACAACATTTATTTCTAAAAAGGATAGGCAGTGTAAGGTATCTTTTAACATTTCTCGTCAGTTATGAGTCCCTTATAGCGGAGGGCAAACATGTTTCTTCACACCGGACACAGCTCAAAACTCTATATTACCGTTATGTGTTCTCAAAATAATTTGCCCGACCCTAGAATCGAACTTGAGACTTAATTTACAAAATTATAATCCTAGAAAACGACCACAATTATAAATTACATAAGGCATAATGGCAGACAAATAATTATACGAATTTCGAATATTATCTCAAATTCCAACACCTAATGATAAGCGGGTTTATATAACTTTATGCCTTTTACTCCATGTAGGAGTATGCAGAACAAATGTACGGTGGACAGCAGATCAATATAATACTTTTCTATCAAATTTCTACATTACATCATAAACTTTATTGTACTGACATAAAGTCGAAAATCCAATGAATTAATTGATCTAATGGCCACCGTACAATCATACACTGGGTACAATTTATTATTTTTTCTTAAAAATATTGAAATTATAATTCCTAAAATTAAACAATTTATTAAACAAGACTAAATGCTTACATAGCGTAGCACTAATTAAGGGAACATTTTTAAATTAATTCGAAAAAGAGGTTAAATTACGAACTAATGCCAAAATCCGTACTGTCTGACAATTTCGACTATTTACTGTTTTAAATGCATTTTAATTATTTTTTTTATTATTATTTATCCGTTTTATTGTACTGTGTATTTATAAATAAAACTTTTAGCATACATACAAGATCACAGACAAGTATAAAAATATTAATATAAATGTACACAAACGATTAATTAGTTATTTAAACGCACCCGGCGTTAGTAAGCGTTTAAATATAATATATATGTATTTTAGCTAATTATTTATATTTATATAATTATATCTATAATAACATTCATACTAGGCTAGAAAAATAACTTTTGGCAATCATTTCATTATGTCTCATAAAGAATCTCATACATTTTTTTATCTGAAATTCTACTATAAGTATTTTTTGTGTATTAAAAAAGCACCCTCCCATTTTGGTTCTATCTTTTTTAATTTTTTTTTAAACAGACAAACTAATATTATTTACCAATGTAAAACTATGGAAAAACAAAAAAAAAATAACAAAACAATTTTTATATTTGAAGTAGTTTGTGTGCATACTCAGGACTTTAAAAGTCCTATATTATTAACTAATCAAATCGCCATAATTAATTTAAAATTAAAATCCCGATACATGTAAGTCTATTAAAATATTAATTACGTCCACAGGCCGTTAACAAATCTCATTTAAAAAATAAAAAAGAATCTACTTTTTGTCTCAAATATTGATCTTTTTTCTCTCTCGCACATTCTATATAACCTATACATACATACCTTCATATACATAAGACGCAAGTTTAAAAAAATAACCGTTTTTTTTACAATCTTAGTTGGCATAAATTCTCTATACAAAAAAAATTCTTCACGCAAATTGTTGTTGAAAAATATACCTAATTTGTTAGGCTGTAAGGATATGAATTGCATGTCGTCTTCAAAAGTGTTATTTGAAAGTGAAAAAACTTCAATTGATAAAGGGAAAGATTAAAAACTTCTTTCAATTGACATGAGACGTCAAAAATATCTTACTATACTATATTTTGCGTGACGCATGTGTTACTTATTTGTCAAAAATTTGTTTCAGCTTTCCAACGAGTACTTTAAACGAAAACATTTTCATATTATTATTATTTTTTCGTCAAAATCCACTGAAATTTTAGGAAAGCTTTATAAAATCATACTAAGTTTTACAGCAGAGACAATGAGATCTAGTCCAGGGTTTCTCGAAGTATGGCTCGCGCATTGGTCAGTCGCGAGCGAATTTTTAGTGGGCCTTGTCTGTAGAATGACATAGGTACTAAACAACCGTTCTGTATTATGTGTTTAATATTGGAAATGGTTTAATTCTCTATGGTCCTGAGTTTAATAACATGATTTAGATAGGTCCAGACAACTTTACGAACCATTGATCCAGTCTATAGAAAAATATAAGTACACAACCACAATTCATTAAAAATTTCAATACGTAAGAGATTCGAAACATAATATCAAAGCATCTCTCAACGACAAACTATCGACAACTATTGAAAAAGACATACAATTCGTATCGATACATCGATATCGACAATCCCGGCTTATAGGACAACACTATCTTAACTGTAATCTATAAGGTGCTGTGGAAGACTTAACGGGTTACCAGAGCTCCGGCTCGAAGTGCAGGCATAGAACGGGGGTGGTTTTTAGTCAAGTAAGAGTCTGACACTCTCGCATCACTCAAGACGGGAGAAGTCATTGGTTTATTTTTCCCCTCAAGAAAAAAAAACCGAACTATCTATAAGATATTTAATTTTATGTTATCAATGTGCGTTCCACACGTAGAGATATGAATATGAAATCGTTGTAAATACCTAATTACCATCGTCTTACTGCGATTAATTGAATCGAAAACGTTTTATTAAATAGTTCTATCAATTTTAATTGAAGTTAACCTGTTTAAATATCAGGCCCTAAATTTGTTCATACAAAAGTAGTCTCTAAACATTGGAAATAAGGTCTATAACGTAGTTAGTGGAGAGCGGTCACCGGTGACCGCTTGGGGATTTTAGAGTTTTATTTGTCTGAAGATAGAGGTATATTTAGAAGTTTTTAAGAACTCGATTTATTATCATGAATATGTCTTAGTACTTAGATACATAGAAACGTAGCACAGGATATAAAATCCTAGAAAAATTTAGTACCTAATATAATAAATAGCACACATTTCATAGAAGATATTATGGCTATGTCTATAGTAGAACGATTATTTTTCAAGTTTTTAAAGACACCATTAATTAAACAGAAAATACTCCAGCAAATTCTTTAAATGAGACCATTTTGAAACTCTTAAACAAACCAAGAGTTAAGACAGCGCTGTCCCACATCTAATACTTTAACGTTTAACAATTAAATACATATAAACAAAGTGAGATTGTCTATATAAGCTAAAATAACAATGTACAGTTTATATTGTCACTTACACGTAGATTAACAACTAGGGGTTTATTCACCGGGCCCAATGAAAAAGGCACTGACTGCGAAGAACAGGAACACTAGACCACCGATTATGGTAACTGTGGAAGAAAGAAAGAAATGTTATTAAAGTAATAAATCATACTAGATAGTAAATTAATCATAATGTACCTACGGCTTTCTCGTGAAACTGTTCGAGTGTGGCTTGAAATTAGTCGAGTACGCTCGAACAGTTTCGTTGGATACAGGTATTTGAATTAGGTGCGTCTTACAATAAGTTACTATACAAAAATGTTCATCAATTTCGAACAAATGAGATTATAAGGTTTTTTGATTATTGATTAGTGTCCGACAGAAACTGGTTTTCCAGCCGAAACCGAAAGCAAAACTGAACGTTCGATCATGGCTTCAGTTTCAGTAGAAACCCAAATTCTTGATAATTGACTTTGACGCTTGCTAATGACCGATTGTAGTTTTTTCATTGTTTCGGTGCTTTTTGGTTTTGCCTTTATAGGTAAGGTCCAAATGTATTAAACGTCGTAGTTAATTAAAATGATAAAGTCTCCAAAACTCCAGTTTCAAACCGCGGAAAACGCAGCAGTTTATCCAGGAGAAGTAAACAAAACAGACAAATATATCAGTCTGGACATGGCCCAGAAATAGCATCATGGCTGCCGGCCGTTTGCCAAACACGTAACAAATGCGTCATAACAATTTATTTCTTACGTTATTTCACTTTTTGCGTGGACATTTATATTTCCATCATCGTGTGTAGGCATTTAGATGAAAATATGCACAGATTTTCGAAAATTGCTCGCTGTGTAATTTAACCTTGTCTATCTCGATTATATTTTTTTTAAACTGAATTTTTAATAAATCTCGCGGGAAACTTAAAAGAAGATGCAGTACAACCAACCAGACAAGCCTCGAGACAATAAATTCCAAAAGATAATCTAAGTGAGTAATCGAATATAGTTTTCACTTTCCCATCCCTGCATATGTAGTAGATGACTTAAGTCTTCAGTAAAGGACTTAAGTTTTTTTTTATACCACGACAGTGGCACATTTAAGTTCTTTCAACCCTAAAGCAGGCTCTCTATGAGAATTTTATCGCCCGCGTACGAAAAAACGTTAATAACTGTTATAACAACAGCTCGATAGGCTAGCATAACAGCTTTTTTGGTAGCTGACTCTAGTATCGTTAGCAATGCGTGCTGAAAGGCCTTGACGCAGTAAATGCGCTGGGGATCGATTAAGAAGAAGTTTGTGGTGGCAAATTGATTACTGAGCGCCCAGAGACATTTCGAAAAAAGGCGTCTCCACTCTAGGGTTAACAATTACATATCATGAAATGTCCATTCACTAACAAAAAGCTAAAACTTCAAATCACTTACCAGTCCTAACAGAAATCTTGGCAGCAACCATCCGGCCGCCTATCACAGCCAATCCAGTGCAGAGCGCGTGGCCAAGGGAGCCACCGACTACTACACCCACAGCATGTTCCCTCGTCGCCAACACAACGGTCGCAAGCTGTGACCTGTCACCCCATTCCGCCAAGAAGGTCAGTGACGCAGCTTGCAGTAACACCTTCAGTACGGCGTTTCGTTTCCGCCGTCTATTTTCAACCTGACCTTGCTCTAACATGTCTAAGGTCTCTTCTTTTTCTTCCTGGAATTCAGAAAATATGGTCAGTTTGGGGCATATGTGTTTAATAAGTGGTGATAGTGATACCCACTCTTGTTTTTAAATTATGTTCAAATTCACGAGGATTTTAGACATCCTATATTTGGTCCTATGAGGCACAAAATTTTGACTTTACCTTTGTCTAAAAAATCTAATATTTAAACTAAAAATTGAAACAAAATGCTTGCCTTTTGAGGTTACCTGAATACCCTAAATAAATATAATTGCTCTGTATCTATTCATTGAATCGTATTTGCTCTAATTAATTTTGAAAGAACAAAGACTATTCTTAAAAGTATTTACTAAAGAATTTAGCATAAGCCATTTTAACTAGAAGTGGAAGTCATTTAGATATCACCACTTAGTCACCTGCAACTGGACTAGTTTAAACAAATAGGAATATAAAACAACATAGTCTTTCTAATTGTTATTATCTACTCTAATGTTAAGTAAATTAAGTTACAAATCCTTTATTTTGCAAAAACTCAAATATTATCACACTATTCTAAAATTAGTCCACACTGTCAGTACAGACTAAGTTTAATTACAGACATGTAAATACAGATAGTACATGCTAAGCAAGACAAGAGACTGAAACGACAAATATTTATAACCATGAAACGGATTTGTAAAAAAAACAAGATTCGCTTGCAAAAAAACAACATTGCCTGTGAATAATCTGTGGTGACTGGTCTTTTTTATAATTTTGAACACTAGGCTTTTGAGAGTCGTGTATTCAGCCTTAATGATACTACAGACAACATACTTTAAAAAATTGTGATGAGGCGGATCAAAATGCGTGACATTCCAGGCTTCAAATATGCAGTAGACAAGATATGCAGTTGAGGCAGCATTTTTGCATTTAAAAAGTAAGATTACAGAGCTAATAAAATGAACTAAAAGACTTCAATGTCAACCTAAGACTTGAAAAAGTCAGAAATATTTGAAACCTAAAGCAAAATAGCGTGCCCAGAAACTTTTACAAAAAAGTTCTGCTTCTGGTCAGGTGAAAAAAGTATGAATGAATGAGAGTAGTACGCGCTAGAACCGGTATTACACAATCAAAGGTTAACTAATGCAATATTTACTATTTGATGGTGTAACGCCTGTCTAAACAACATTCTAATCAAATGCTGAATTCCTTTGCATAATCGATTCAATTCATCTATCGAAGCCTTTCTCGAAACGAATAATGGTATGGTCTGTGCATAACAGAACGTAAAAAAGCTAAGGCTAAAGAAAAAAAATAACTATGGTGTCATTCGTACTGCCAGGCATAATGACGTAAGATCACCCTCAGCGGTTCTGATTGCGCCGAGCTGCCCGCTACGGGCTCCGCGGGGGACACTGGCCCTCTCTCCACTTCGGGGGACGAAGGCGTCGGGCTTTGTGAATGAGAAGTCACCACCGATGTCGCGTCAGGCGAATTCGAACGCTCTTTATGCGCTTCCTGTAGTTTCAATACTGCTCAATCTCGGTATGGCGACTCAGTCGAAGTTACGCTCCATATTCAAATCGTTAATTTTGACAGATGAAAAAAGTATAACTTGTCAATAAACAGTACTGGCAACATTTTTGTTCGATGTTTAAAAATCCCCTTCCCCTTTGTACGCAAACATGATGGCGCATCGTGTGAGCCGGCTATAACTGGGTCAATATAATAAAAATAAAGAAAGGAATTCAACATTTGCAGCTACACTGGCATTAAGACTGAAAAGAATCTACAAATACTTAATTAAATCATAAACATTATCTTATCTAATAAACACGGTTCTGTTTAACTTGAGATCTCTTTAGTTAATTGACCTTCATTTACTAGTTATTTTTTATAGTACTTGCGACTACCAATAGCATAATTTGGAAGCTAAAAACAGGCTATCATCACTGCCTGATAATCCAAAATTTCCCACAAACAAACCAAAGATTGCAAGCCTAGATTCTACTTTTGCATGCTTTGAATTTAAAGACAATTAACCTTAGGCACCATTACTTAAGATTACTTCATTAGATACGATAAGAAATCAGTTTATTTGATAGAGATCATGTAAGACAGCGAAGATATTAAATTCGATTAGAGAATAAATTTTACAGTGTGTCATGAAGTGATAACATGGGTTTAAGTGACGTACCAAAGATTTAATGAGAGATAAATATACGATAGGTATGAAAATTAGCAATTAGTTTACTTGTGCCAACGATATTTGGAGAATTTTAATTATACGGGTTCGTTTCCGATATGCATTATCAGTTTAAATGTTTTCCATTACTTCGTTTTGGGTTTTAGGCTTAAATCAATACAGATTTTGACGTAATTGTTGTAGATATCAGCAATATAGCTATAGGTCTACTCAAGGTACTACCTAGAAGGTAGGGAACTGTTATGTCGTCGTACTAAATGTCTGTACTTTAAAAATATTACGATAATTGAGTTTCTTTTGGTGCTAAGAAGTAATAAATGCCATAAAAGTTTAATTCATAGACTAAAGACAAAACAATGTGCTCAATTCAGCGAAAAAAGAAAATTATTATGAGAGGTATTGAAAGTTAAACACACTGAAGAAATGCAATCTGATAAAACTAAAAACTATTTCAAAGTCATCCATATTATTAAAGACAACAGTATTGCAAATAAATTAAACTTTGCAAAACACAAAATTAACTAACAACAGACGACCGGATGCAATCTCGTTGGTAACAAAACAGAGGTTACGAAAAAAAATCCGGTGAAGGTATAAATTGGCATGGCCACAGAAACTATTGCTAATCTATGGTAACTATTACTAATTCCTATAATCCATTATTTGCAAAACGTAACGGTGATACCGGACTATGCAATGAGTTCTGGAAGTATGAAGTAATATTTTTACAAAGAAAAAAATTAGGAAGCAAACTAAAATCTAGATCGAATTTGTGTTTTGTAAATATTATTAAGTCATTACCGATTGATAATGAACATGGTTTATTATTATAAAAAGTATAACATAACTGGGTAACAAATAGTACATAATATACTGAATAACTGAAGAACCAAAGAAACCAAATATTTGAATGATGTATTATTATTGTTTGTAATAAAAGGGCATCTAAATAGGATGGAAAGAGTAGAGGTCAGACAAAAAAAGAAATAATTATTATCAACTCCCCTATAGAGACTCAAAAAAGAGTTCGCAACATTTTTCCCGCGTCTTATTTAAAAAAAAAAAATACAAAACTAAAAACGATTCCAATTTCAAACATTCCACAAATTAATCTAATTAGATTGTAGCAACGCTTTAAATAAAGTAATTAAATAACGATTAATCATAGATTATAATAATTATCTTTGTTACAGATAGGGACTGGAATTAATGAAAGCCGCAAAATCGATAAATGTGAATCAAGAATTTTGATTTCCGATATTATATTTTACTAATTGCTTTATAATGTGTGACCCATGTGAATCGGATTATAATGTAAAATGATATTGATGAAGAACGTAACGTAGGTAAAATTTAATATTGTCAGGCCACCGATTAAAATAGTTTAGATATACGAGTACCTACCTATTACAAGCGCATAGCATTTCAACTGTGTCCGATCTGGAACACAATTAACTCGTCGAGTACCGGTTTTGCAGACACAATTATAGAACAATAGGTTGCGGTCACCGGTGACCGCTTGGTATTTGACAGTTTAATACTAATAGTTTGGAAAGAACATAAAGAATTGTACCTTCTCCAGTAAATAGTGATAAAATGCTATTTCAATTCGAATATAGGTAATAAATGGAAGATGAAACTTGGAGTATTTAAAATATCAAAAATGTATGCAAAATTGTTTTCGTCGCAGTCACGTGTTTTGATAAAGCCTTTCTATCTATCGAGGTCTTTAGCGCATGCGCGTCCAGTACTCTTCACTCGCCAAATAATAAAACAGTATAAAACATCCTTGGGCCATTCAGATAGCGGTGTAGAAAAACCTAAGTTCAACGAAAAAGGGGAAGGAGATTTCAGTAAGAAAATAATTGAAAATAACTATCTAGACAGTACTTTGTTTACAGAAGAAAATAATTACGTAAAATAATTTCGTATCACACTTCCCTAAATTACCAAACACTCAAACAATTGAGCTTCTAAAAAGAAAACAAAATTACAATTCTCGGTTAAAAACCAAATAGGTCCACATACCTGATCTTCTCTTCTTTTCAATTCACTTTGTACTTCTTCTAATTCTTCTTGACCTTCGTTGGGGTCCATTTTCCAACCGTCCCTTAACATTTTTATACCAAATATCGCGAACAACACAGCACTTGCGTAGTAGGTGTAGACTCTGGGTATGACCGTGGCTATCCATCCGAAGGCAGCTGATAATATTGTCATGAACACCAGTGCAGATATGGCACCGGCAAAGACTATAATCCTCGGATGTTTCATGGCCATAATAGCCGCTATGAAGAAGGTCTTGTCTCCCAATTCCGAGACTACCACCACGGAAAGGGAGGCAAGGAAACCTTGCAAGAAACTGCCCTGGATCGCTGCTCTCTGGAAATAAAAGAAAAAGAAACGTTTTAACTACGTTTAAGACACATTGCAGTGTTTTTTGGACTCTGAATTCCAACATCACACAACACATTAACTCTGTAATTATGTAAATATTATAATGATTTTTATTTAAGGGGAAGTAAATCAAGATTTGTATATTTTGTTTTTGTTTATTGACAATTAGGGACTATTTTTCCTATTTCATATTATTATACAGCAATAAACCGTTTCTCCTATTTTAACTTCTGACAATTACAAATTGATACACAAGAACAATATCATACATATCCCGTCGAACAGCATTGGTAAAGAATTCGCAATACATCAAAATGCTCAGACTTTCATAGACATACCGGTTTCTAGCAACATTCTATTTTTCTACAGAACTAGATCGAGGAACTATTATCAAGCCATTGACTCTAAAACCGTTCACTTGTTTTGCTAAAAATATACCACATTTGACCATTTTGGAAAATAAATCTAAGTATTTTGTACCTCTATTTTGAGTTACATCTTTTTCTACAGTGTTATTTAAAATCAAAACTACATCTTAGATACTGATTAAGCCGTAGCTTTACTGTTCTTCAACCTCATCTATTTCCGTCCAGTACTTTAAGTGAAAGAATTAAAACCATCCATTCATCTTGACAATTCTTGCGTATGAACTAAACCGATGATCATTCATTATAAAGTAATTATATATATAAAAGAAAGTGTGTTAGTTACACTATTTATAACTCAAGAACGGCTATATCGATTTGGATGAAAATTGGTGAGGATGTAGCTTAGAACCAGGAGACGGACATGGGATACTTTTTACCCAATACTTATTTTTTACTTTTAACCGAAAATCACGAACGGGTACGGGAAATATCGGGATTGCGCGTACGAAGTCGCGGGCAGAAGCTAGTAAAGTAATAAATATACATCAAATAACTACGGAACAATTAGGGAAACGGCTAAAGAAGAACGGGGAAATCCTAAGGCTTGGCATGTATCATCAAATTAGCTCACCACATCATATAAGTGCAGTGACGTACTATAATATACCTCTACATATCGAATCATGCCAATTAGATACAGCCTGTATGTATGTAGTCAACATGGTGGCACGATAGAATTTATTAGTCTGGTTCGAGTACATGGTATCGAAGGAGTTAACTCATTGAGTACCGTCATTATAGACACAATTATAGAACAATAGGTTGCGGTCACCGGTGACTGCTTGGTGTTTGACAGTTTAATTATGTAAATGGTTATTTAATAAATAAACCGTTCGTTTTACCTCGGCATCATCAGCACCTATGGCCCTATCCTTACATATTATAAATTTTAAAAACGCTACTGTGTCTTAACTAAAAATTGCGGGTGATGCACCCTAATAGAGACTAATCAGCAGCGATCTCTCATAAACATTAACCTCGCGATCTAACCCGCTTGCAAAGTCCTTTTACTTAGAGAAAATCTCCACTAGTTTCGAGTCACTGAGGAGTAGGGTGCGGGACATCGCCGCGACCGCGCATGCTCATGAGGAAGAGCCTCTCTGTGCCTCGAAACTACTAGAACTTTTCTCAGTATTTTCACGTAAGTAATTCGCGATTTTTAGTTAATTTAGCATGTCTCACGATAATTATTTTAAAAACATAACTTCTACGTCTGTTTGATATAAACTCAAAAACGTTTGATCAGGTTTTCATACAGTTTTCACTAGTGAATAGACTGATTCTTAAGAAAAATGAAGACAGCAGTCTAAACATAGCTCAGAGGCCTTAGTACGAGTTTAATTTACTTTTAAAGTATTCGAAACGAGTACGCGTTCGGCAATCTGATTGGCCGGCGCCAATGAACCAACCAATCAGAGCGCCGAACGCGTACTCGTTACGATTACTTTAAGCGTAAAACAAACTCGTACTAACGCCTCAGAAGGCTAATCCAATAAAATAGTTAGTAAAGCGTAAACCTTTTTCTCATCACATTTAACCAGGGCGGAACTTGGTCATGGTTGAAAGGAATAAGAGGCTACAGTTAGTTTTTTAGCAAATCCTATTAAGAACGGACGCGGAAATCTTCCTGTACTTAGGCACCAAACAATTACATTTTCAACATTCAACTAGATAACAAGAATCCTATGTAATCTCAATTTATATTTGCACGTACGGCTTCTAATTTTATGAAGCTGATAATATTAAATTGCCGTGCAGTAAAAGATAGCATAATAATGAAGCTTAACGCGTAATTGTGTTGTGAAAACGAAAGGAAATATAGTAGGGCTTATCATATGTATTATTAATGTTATAAACTCGTTGTCGGGGAAGACTGTATGAGAATAATTTCATTTATAAACAAATGGTTCATGTTTGTGCATTGTGCATAGCAGAAGGAATTTGAGGTACTATCTTCTCTATTGTTTTGTGACCATGCGATTTCTCATTGACTGGTTTTACTCAAAACTATAGAAGTGTCATTCTTAAATGCGGTTGCCAACTTATTATTTCACATCATTATTACATTCCTAACTTAATAAAGAGGTAGTATAACGTTTTCAACTCATCCAAAGGTATTTTTGAAACTTCGGTTAGGTTCGGTTTAGAATCTGCGTCCAAATTAGTACTTATTTTAACAGGTATATCTAAGGTGAACCACTGTCTCATTTCGGACATTAAAAAAATTTTAATCAACTCATTATTCAGATAAAACAACCCAAAGAAAGTTTTGAGACACCAGTGTTATTGAGACCACGAGTTATAGCGACCTCGCCAAACTCAGAATCAATAGGTTTTTTTTTTCGAATGCAATGCACGTCTGATTCTTGGCCACGCGCGAAGCTATTAGCAATGCATCGTTTTAGCAGAGCTATAAATAACATCGTTTAGTTTTATAATAGATAGGTACAGGTAGTTATTTGCCACTATCTTTTGTTTTTTAATTATATTTGATGGGCCGACGTTTGACCACTATCTTGTATTCATGTTTATGGGTTAGGGCTAGGGTTGCCACCCGTACTTTATAATAAAGTATTGTACGTTATTTAAGGTAATTGTACTCTATACTTTATAAAAATAATAAAGTACACGAAAATACTTTATTTTTGCAAAATTCGATATCGATATTTATCGAGTTATGTTGAATCGATTTCGCCACTCGCCAGCGCCACTTAGACAATTTCTAGTAAAGATGCATTTGTTTAGTATTTCAATGCAATTGTAAATACTTTATAAAAATAATAAAGTACACGAAAATACTTTATTTTTGCAAAATTCGATATCGATATTTATCGACTTATGTTGAATCGATTTCGCCACTCGCCAGCGCCACTTAGACAATTTCTAGTAAAGATGCATTTGTTTAGTATTTCAATGCAATTGTTTAGTAAAGGTACTAATCAATACATAGTATAAAACAAAGTCGCTTTCGCTGTATGTCCGTATGTATGCTTAGATCTTTAAAACTACGCAACGGATTTTGATGCGGTTTTTTTAATAGATAGAGTGATTCTTAAGGAAGGTTTGTATGTATAATACATGCATATTGCACCCGTGCGAAGCCGGGGCGGGTCGCTAGTTTAATATAAACTGCAAAAAGCAATAAAAAGTATATTTTTAAATATAATACTAAATAAGAATAATTTGTACTTTATTTTTTGTACTGTGTACTTTTTTCCTTACCTATAACCGTCAATGTACTTTAAATCCCAAAATAAAAGGTGGCAACCCTAGTTAGGGCGGTAAACGAGGAGACAGATCACATGATTCTAAGCCATCAGAACTGCTTATGAGGAGTTACAAATGTATTCTCAGTCTTTGGTTAGGATTGGGCCTTCGCTAACTTCACTCACACGACGAAACACAAAGCAATAATTGTTTCACGTCAGTTTTCAGTAAGGCCGTGGTATCACTCTGGTCGAGCCGGCCCATTCATGCCAAAATATGTCTGACCCATATGAACATACACATAAAGACGAAATTCGTATGAGCGGTTGAAGATAAGGAATTTTCTCTGACATTTTCCGTTTTGTTTGATCATAGTGACGTCATATCATGCACATTAGATGCTTGCATAATATACACGTGTCTGATGAGTGAAGTGTTGTGGAGCGGCGTAAAATAAACAAAGAGTGGGGTTATGTCACAGTAAAGTAACAAAATATGGGTGGGTAAGCATAGACTACGTAGACTTTGGTATAAACTCAAAAATTACTGACCGTCTATTTATGCAATTTTTGGCCAGGTGGACCTATTCAAATTCATACACGAGGAAGGATTCAGTGTAAAAAAATTATATAGTGTGCAGACATTGTCTACTTTAACGAAAATGTACATAATTTTTAGTCCAGTAACGCGGACTAGTAACATATTGAAATATATCAATTATTACGATACGTTTAGGTAAATAACATATTACTGAATTTCATATGATAATTATGAAGTAATTGTCACTTACCAACAAATTACAGAAGTTATTATTTCATTGCCATAGATAAAGGTAGATAAGAAGATTAATTAATAGTTTTTAGGTAATTATTTGTCTGTTTTTATAGTCAAGGACCAAAACAATTGAATTGTACTTCAATATTTCTTTAATAATTACCAGTAATCAAGTCTAAAAATTAACTCTGAGACAAGAAACTCTTTAGAAGATTAGCTAGGAGTCATGAATGTGGCATTACAAGTCTTAGTACTTGGTAATAGAGTCCTAAGCAGTCTGACGTCTTCTCTATTGCAAGACGACGCTAAAGAAGAAAAGGCTAATAGATATTTAGAAGAGAAAGGAAAAAAGAAAGAGTTCTAAAGGATAATAACTTTCGTGAGACATACTAAATTAACTAGACATATCTGTTTAATCACGTAAAAAGATTGAGAACAGCTCTAATGATTTCAAGTCACAGAGGGACTCTTCCTCAAGAGCAGCGTGTGCGGATGTACTTAAGCTGCGCGCGTTACTAGAGATTCACCTCTCGCGGAGAACCTAACGGGTTACTGGGACTCTGGCTCGACGTGCAG